GAAAGAGCCAGAAAACTTTCAGGTAACATTTCATTTAAAGTAAATGAAATGAGCTCAAGGGAATGGCCAGAAGCCGATTGTTTTTCACACAGTTTTGGGGTCGGTTCGGGTTCCAAAAGAAGTCTGCAGCTAATTTATACATTTTGCACGCTTACATCGAAGCCTCTATTAACTGAGAAGGGGCATGCTTCGACGTGTCCCAATTCCAAACGAATTCGAGGTTTATGCACGAAGATCACGCTGGGCATTGCAGGACATCACCTAGAGAAGAAAATTAGCAGATCTATCCGGCTGCTGTGACTGTTGGAATGTCAAGCTTGAAGGTACTTGTGGTAACTAGAAAAAGGCGTTTTCCTTTCACTGATAAGATTTAACTTTCGTATCGGGCTGGCTTAAATAATTTTCGATAACATTATTCTGTGCAGTGAGGAGATTCCCAATCAGCTTATTTAATCTATTCAGCTCTGCAATGATTATCAGACACACACCTAACCATTGTTTGTAATTAAAGTAGTAATTATAGAAGCATGTCCCTCATGCTCCTCCCTAACCTAGTACTTCAAAACCTGGTAGCAGAATCACAGGCTCCCAAAACCAAAAGTGACCCTATCATAAGGCCATTAGTGCACATGCTTCTGCAGTGTACCCCGACAATAACTTAAAATAGAATTGAGAGCTCCACAGGCTCTCCGCTCTCACATTGATTGATGGTTTGATCGGTTTCCCGCCTATTTCGCGCAATGAGAGGTTATTTTCAATCTTCCTTCATTATTGTTGTCTGTTGTCGCTATACTAACTGTTACTCCTGGTTTCAGTTATAATGACAGTTACAGAAGCCAAGAACTTTACATGAAGTTGGAGTACTGTCAAGTGCTCCTCCCACTTGCAATGTTTTGATGTTTACATCTGTGGCTCTAGCATGAATGGCTGGTCCATTTCTGCTTTTATGTGGGCTCTGTGTAATCATGAAGTGTTGCAAATTTTACTGTTGTTGCCTAGGCTCTAGAAGTGAGTTGCCAAAAGAACAAAAAGAAAAGAAAAGAAAAGAACAAATTTTACTGTCTCACCTTAAAGCTCATACAGGCCACGATACTTGATTCCTTTCATTATCACCAAGGTACCTCGAACAACCTTCAAAATTTCACATTCTGAAAAATACCGACACCCAGTTGAATCCAAGGCACTCAAGGAAATCGGATTTTTCTTCAACTCTGGAACATGCCTCACCTCGTCAATGTCCTCACAATAGCATTATGCATTCTGATTTTTATATCACCAACACCTACAATATCGCACTCAGCGTTGTTCCCCAATTGCACTTTACTATTATCCATACACTGATAAGTAGTAAACCAGTTCCTATTTGGTATAGTGCGTAAAGAACAACCAGAATCCATCCGCCAAACGGCGAATCATCAGTGACAGACAAGACATAATCAACACTATCCGAATTACTATTTGCTATAGCTACAACATCATCCGCAGACTCAACTCTAATTCCTTTACCTTTTGTCGTTTTCAGTTTAAGGCAATCTCTTCTAAGGTGCCCCCTCTTGCCACAACTCCAACAGACAACACCACCGGTCCTAGACTGACTATGTCTATTCAAGTTTATACCACTCCTGCTAACACATGTGCCGGTTTTTTCTCTATTTTCACCTATTAAAGCAGTAGATACATGTTCACCAGATTCTTTTCTACGGATGTCCTCACTCAGAATTAAATCTCAAATACCATCAAACATCAAACTTATTGACCCAGAGGAATTACTAAAGCAGTAGATACATGTTCACCAGATTCTCTTCTACGGATGTCCTCACTCAGAATTAAATCTCGAATACCATCAAACATCAAACTTGTTGACCCAGAGGAATTACTAACAGCAGTAACAGTAGTATTTTAACTATCAGGCAATGAGAATAATAGAATCAAAACACGTACCTCATCTTCAAAGTCAATGTCAACTTAACTTAATTGACCAACGATCACATTGAATACATTAATATGATCAGCAACCGATGTACCTTTGCTCATCTTCAAGCTAAACAGACGTTACATCAAATAGACTTTGTTGATCGTAGAGGGTTTCTCGCACATGTCCAATAGGGCTTCCATCAAACCCGCAGTGATTTTCTCTTTCACGATGTTAAACGCGACGTTACGAGCCAACGTCAGCCGAATAACAACCAAAGCTCGTCTATCCAACAATTCCCAATAAGCTTGCTTCATTGTCTCTGGCTTCTTTCCAGACAGGGGCAAGTACAGTTTTATCTAATATAGATGACCCTCAATCTGCATCTTCCAGAAACTAAAATCCTTTCCATCAAATCTGTCGATTCTCACTTTTCCTTCTTCTGTCACCATCGATTCACTTTAACTCAGCCAAGCCTAGCTCTGATACCAATTATTGCGGAAGCTAAGCAATCGAACAATAAAATAGACATAGCAAGAAAGTAAATTGAACACCAGATTTACATGGTTCAGTCATAGTGACCTACGTCTACAGGGAGAGCAGCACGAAATTCCACTATAGATAAAGCGATACAACGGAGATTACAACTACACTCGAGTCACTCAAACACTTTCAGTGTTTCCCAAACCCGAATTACACCCAATAGCTCATGCAGTATTTAGCCCCATAATTTCTCACGAAATAATCTCTCAATTTCACGAAAGAATTATACACAAATTCTTACCATAAGAATTTAATCGCTCAAACACACTCGGATATCTTCATGGTGTAATTCACTAGCAGAAGCTCCTCTCTCATACTCTTCATAAGAAGTCACACTTCTTATTTATAGACAATAGCATGATCCAAATTAGGAAATCTCTTTTTAGGAAACTTTCTCCAATTAGGAAACCTTTTCCAACTAGGAAATCATTTAATTAGGAAACTATTTAAAATAGGAAACCTAGTTGAATTAGGAAACTTTCATATTCGGACTCAAACTCGAGACATATTTTAACAGTTAGAAAACCCAACCCCAAAACCAAAGCCATGACACAAACAACAATCCACAAGCGCAACGTACTAGTACATGGGTAGTGAAAAATTGAAGCTTCGCTCGGACATCATGTTAGAAAGCGACATTAAAAATCGGTGTTAAATGAAACGAGACCACTACCGCAATTATAAACCCATAAAGAAGGAAAGATGCTTTCGGTACACATATCAAACTTGAACTGCTTTCGATTGCTAATCTGTTGCATCCTGTGATTTGACTCCACCAGTTGAAAAATCATCCACGGCATGACAATGCCCGTGTTTATCTCTACATCCTTGAGCTGCTACGCCTCTCAAAAGAAATCTGGGTTAGGAATGAGTGTTATCCATGCTCCTCTCTTGTTTCATCCAAGGAAAAGCATGATGTGATTAAGGGGGGAGGTGCCGGATGTGATATGAGGGCGATCAACAATACGTAAGTAGCGTATTGACTTGATTGAACGTCACTGAGAGAGAAAACCCACTTCCCCATCTGGACCAGATCTATGAAGTAAAGTTCACAGCCAATGAACATGCAAGCCAGAAAGGATATCAGTACTATGTAGCTGTATTAGCGACCGACCATTCGATATATGGCGGAGTAAAGCTCAATCATATGGACTCGGAAATTTTCTTGCATGCACCTGATGCTATGAACCAAATGATCTCAGCCACTGAACTATGCGCCCCGGGCCAGACCTACTCGATCGTATGGTTGATATGTGCAAAGGAAGGCAGCTCTTTTCTAGGCTACTTAGGCTACGATTAATTCAACTTTCCCAATGAACTTTAAGCCTAGGAATTCTCTTGGAAAAACTTGTAAGTGTTTGGCAAATATTTTTTGGGTCACTTTGGGAAATACTAGCATTGGCAAAGCCGAAAGCCGAAAACAGGCAAGACTTTTAGCATTTTCAAAAAGCAGGTCCCAAGATAAATAAGTTTTTTCCTCCCCAAATTACCCCTACTAGTAATTTCATATTTTGCTTTTGCCCTCGCAACTGTTTATCTTCTTTGCAGTTCTGGAGTTCGCAGAGGTGGCGAAGCTAGATGAACGCCAGCGAGGGGTTGGCTGGGGTTGCCGACACTGGTGTTGCGTCGCTTGCTGTCGCGCGGCCTCGGCTATCCATTGCTTGGCTCACCCAATGTTGGAGTCCAGTCCTGTCGCTTGGCTTGCGCAACTTCGAAGTTCAAAGCTAGCTCGCCTAAGGTCGCGCAACCTCGGTGCTGCCTCACCTGGGGTCGTGCAACCTCACTGGCCCTCGCCTAGTGTCGCACCAACCATCAAATGGCCAGATTTAGGAAGCCCGACCGTCGAAATTTTAGATATGGGAAGTTTGAGATCTCACGAGCTTGGCGTTGGTTTGCCTGAGGTTGAGCAACCCCAGCATCCCTCACCTAGGGTCGTGACCTCGGTAACGGGCCTCGCCTGAGCTTCACTGTGCTCGGCTACAACGGTCGGGTTTTGCATATCCGCTTGCATGAACTTTGTTGCCATGGTCAGGCCTCATTGAGCTCTGTTTGCCTCTCTTGAGCTTTGGTGCAACGAGTGTTGCTGGTCGACGCTCACTTGGTCGACGATCGCAGCCAATGCTCGCCTGTGGTCCCCCAAAGCAAGGGAAGTATCCTAGCCTTCTTTGTCTTTAGTTCCTGAGTTGCTCCCTCTCTTTTTTTTTCTTTCTTTATTTTATACTTTAAAGTTTCTTTACACAAAATATGCATCAACCAAATGCTATTTGCTTTTAACAAACACACCTTTGTTCAAAGATACTTGGACATATGACTTTACATCCCCGAAATCGAATCAAATGCAGCCTTAGAGGCCTCGTGCTCTAGTAATTATCCAATGGTAGTAAGGCAAGAGCGCTGCGCGACTCCGACAGAATGAGCCGGGTACTCTAAAGTTTGGACAAACCCTGCCTAAAAAATGTTTAATAAAACGTATCTTGAGTTCGTGATTCATTAGGATTTGGAAGTTCTTGGAGGGAAATGAAGATTTTGAGTTTGGTGCCATCCATTATTTATGGGAAACTTTCATTCCTCAATATCTCAAATACAGGACAGGTTCCGTTTGGCGCTTAAATCTAGATGTTTTCTCCAACCGTATGCAGAATAACTGAAGATCTACCCACTTCTCAGTTGACCAAGATAACATACGTAAAGAAAAGCCAGAGCACTTGTTAAGTGCAAGCAAAGGAGAAAGGGTCTTCTATCAACTGACCCTGCAAAAGCTAAGGTTCAGCGGCAGCTATCGTGGCCAGCGACGACACCATCGTCAGTCACAATCTTATCTTAGGCGGCAGCCGCAGCCAGCTGCAACGTCTCCTAGATTGGCCAAAGCAATGTCATTGCTTGCGTCGTTTTTGGATCGAGGAAGAAGACGCGCCTTCTCTGTTCATGGAGTTTGAATCTCTAAATGATACCGTCTAAAGCCTAATTAAGATCACAATTTGCCACATTTGACTATTTAAAGAATAAGTGTCACCATAAAATCTTAACTGCAATTTTCCGAAGAGAAAAATAGCTAAAGTCACTTGAGCAAACTATTTAAAAAAAAGTTGTATTCCATACAGTAATTTCAACACATCTAGTGTACTTTTCCCTATTTTCTTGTCTGTCATTTCAATACTCATTCAAAAACTACTGCAACTTCCTTGTATTTTATCAAAGTAAACATCAACCCAGATTCATCCCTCCGCACAAGGATACTTCTCTCAATCTAATGTGCAAACCTACTTTTAACTGTCTAGAGAAGGAACAAAAGAAACTAGATTGCAAGCATCGGAAAGTCAAAAATGCACTATCATGTCTATCATCTCCGGTCATAATACAAAACCATAATCTTAGCTCTTAAGTACAATTTCCTATAATTTAAGAATCACCAGATCATATGTACAGGTTAAAGCCTCTCAAGATCAACATCACTAGAACAAAATTGTACTCACCCGAGCTCTTCTTTAAGCAGTTTGCTTTATCTTCTCTCACGCTTTGCCCTCTTCGGAAACCGTCCCCGATGTTCTGAAGGTACCTCAGACAGCATTTGGGACCAGAGCACATCAAATTGATGCTGAAAATTTCCCTGAAAACAGTCCGAAACTTCTGAATGCAATTCCATCGGATTCTGCTTCCAGACCTCCCGTAGCCTAGCACAACAGTCGATCATCCTACTTTTCAAACTAAAGAGAAGATTACCGACCCTTTTTTGGCCCAACGCCCCTGGTCTCAGAATGGTAGCAGGTGGAGCAACCATATGTTTCCTCACAGATTTTAGGCATGGCAAAACTTGACCTTCTAGTAATGCATAGGCAAATACGGCGACACGATGTGTATCATCAAGAATAGGCACACTATGCAAAGCAAGCTCCCAAAGGTGTGGGCCAAAGGTAGGGACCACCCAACAGAGAACTTTATCGGCTCTGGGATCATAATAAGGCCTAGGGTCCGTGAGAGGTGAAGAAAAACTACACAAAGACTTAGCGTACTTCACGAGCCAGTTGGACTTCACACTTGTTGCTCCATGCATGTATGGTCTCTTGGTATAAAGCAGTTCGCTGTACACTAAAAACTCGGGTGCCGAGTTAGAGAGAGAGGACCAACGATGGAGAAATACGGTTTCTTTAACCATGCTAGCCTGATACCGAACTGCACGAGCTCTTCCATCCCCTTCTGATGAACCTCCTCTAATACGTTTTGCAACTCTATCTGCCCAACCGGCACAAATAGCTTGGCCCAAGACCTCTTCCTCATTCAATTGCAGAGGGTGCTTACTAGAGGGAACCCTCCAGGCACGTTCTACATCGTCTAGCGTACCATGAGTCCAAGAGAATTTAGGGTTGAAGTCAATGCTTTGAGCAAAAACCAATTGAAGCAGTTGTTTTCGCAGCTTCGACATCTCCTCCATTGTTTTAAGGTGAAATGAGTTTTCATCGCAGAAAGCTACTGGACTTTTGGAAGATTCAAAACACTGTAGCGCATAAGCAATGGAGAGAGCATCGCTACATGGATTATAAAACTTCCCACGTGACGCTCGAATAGCTTCTTTAAGTTCCTTTTTCCTGGATTTTTCTTGATTGTCCATCCTACGTTCCCTGCTTAAAGAGGCAGATTCCTCGAGTTTCTCCGACCCTTCTCCATCCGATTTACTCCCTTCAAGCTGCGTGATGAAAGGATTTGGCAAGCTTAAAGCTGCTGCGGCTGCAACTGCATATCCGAGAACTAAGCTTGCCCGAGCATAATTATCAACCGTCTTCATGATTTGAATAACAGTTAGGAGCATCCTAGAATGGCGGGGACTCATTGGATAACGAGCCATGGCTTTCCCTAAGGACGTCAATTTCCCACTACTGTCAAGTGCTTCAAGAGCCTTCAAGCAGCGCTCTGCTTCAAGCAAGGCTGTTGGTTCCGGCTGTGTCGGAAATGGAAAATTTGCAACCTGAATAATCGAAGAATAAAAGCAATTAATCTGAAGCCGGATACTAAATAATAAAAGAAGCAGTGGCGAGGTAAAAAAAATGACCATCCAACTGTGTTGGAAATGGAAATTTGCAACCTGAATAAAGCAAAGACTAAAATTAATCAATTTAAGGCTTAGCACTAAATAGTCAAAGACAGTGGTGAGGCTTAAAAAAATGACCATCATGTGGATGTAGCAGCTTAAGGAGCATGGTCATGAATAAAAATGTACTTAATAAACACAATCACAAATAAAAAAGGACATGCAGCAACACCTCGCAAAGGCAGCTTTAAGTAGCGATGTTGCATGAGATGAAAGGTGATGCATGGACATTCACATTGCAGAAGCAAACATCATTGTACTTCATCATGAAAATCAAATTATTATCTAGTAGAGTAGGACTGCATAGGACCTACCTTATCAATACCCATAGATTTCATGAGAAGGACAACCCCGTCAACAGGTATTTTAGATATTTCAGCTAAGGAGAAGTCAGAAAATATGTTATTAAAGACTGCAGAAGAGTAGAGACGGTAGCAATGACCAGGACCAGTTCTTCCTGCTCTTCCAGCACGCTGGGCAGCTGATGCTTTACTTATCCATTGTATTTCATACGTCTCCATCCCATTGGAAGAGTTGTAGCTCTTCACCTTTTCTCTTCCAGTATCAACTACATACTTTATGCCAGGAATAGTTAAAGAAGTTTCAGCAACATTCGTTGCAATAACCACTAGTCGTGCGCCTTCCTTGACTTCCTCGAATACACAAAGCTGTTGTGCTGCAGGAAGCATTGCATAAAGTGGCAAGACATGCATTGGACAAGCATGAGAACCATTATCTACCCCATTCTTCCCCATACTGAGATCCATCCCACCCGAGTCTCCTCCCTGATTGGTTGAGTTTGTCGATTCTGTCTTGCAGTTTGAAGAAATTTTATTAGTCAGAGCTTCGAAAGCAGCTCTTAGTGAAGCAAGTGTTCCCTCCTCCCCAAGAACTTCAGAAAGGCCACCATCATCTGAAGGATTTTTCTCGTCCAACGGATGCCCAACATCATCATCAATAGTCTCCCAGTCACTATCTGAACCCGAATCATGAGACACATCTGACTCTTCCTCACTCACATCAAACTGATCTTCCTCATAAGAAGTAAACCTGTCAGTTTGCTGGTTGACTTGGTTAGTATCAAGCTGATATGCCTCATCAATTTCTTTTAAATTGACTCCCTCGGTATTGCCTAACTCAGAGACTGCATTGAGATCATTCACTCCATTTCCCTTGGAGGTTTTGTCAATTAGCTGTCTTGAAGCTTTGCGAAGCTTTCGGCATAAATGCTCAACTTCCCTCTGCCCAGTAACAAAAACAAGTATGCCCCCAGGTGGCAGCCTCTTGTTTATTGAAATTACCTTCTTATACGCTTGACCAATATAGTCTAAAATTTCTGTTCTCTTTGAAAAATGTATGGTGACTGGGTATTGCCTAGTAGGAACTTCCAACACCGGAGGAGGATCACGAAACAACCTTTTTCCAGAAATGAAGTCTTCTACTCGCAAGGTGGCACTCATTAACACAAGTTTTAATGGAAAAATCACGCTTTCAGGACTCAGACATTGTCCTGATCGTAACATTTTCTGCTGTTTCTCAAATAGATCCTACAATCAAGAAAAAGATTGTTTAGCAATCTTTAGAAAAGACACAGAGATATCCTACAGATCAAGAATGAATCATCAAAAGACAATTGTCACCTGACGTAATTGTACAATGCGTGATAACATTCCGATAAGTATGTCAGTGTTCAAGCTTCTCTCATGGGCCTCATCCAGAACAATGATGGAGTAACGCTTCAACAAAAAGTCATTCTGCACATGAAGTTTGATTAAGAAAAGTATAAAGCAATTGTACAATGTTCTCTACCTAATAAAGCATGCTTGTATTCGACCAAAAAAAAAAAAAAAAGCATGCTTGTAAACGAACTCATTCCAAGGGGGAACACCGAAAACCACTAGTAGTATGGAAGAATAAATTGGCTGATGCCAGGTTTATATCAACAAAATAATCAAACTTTGCAAGAGGATCCAAACCTACTTAATGGGGGAAGTTTATTTTTCAGAGATAAATCAGATAAAAAAAGAGATTCACCCGATTCTAGTGCTCCTTTCATTTCTCTGACTTATTCGCTAAATAATCAATGGCAAAGACGAGCTTCAATTTTCACATCCATTCGACACATGTTTGATTGAAAACAGGACAAAGGATACATATGCAATAGATTATTCCGAAAACCCAGAAAAAAAGAAAAATCCGTCCATAAAAAGAGAATAATAAGCAGATACTCAAAAGCAAATCGAGACATGATCAATGTGCTACTTCATCGACTTGGATATAGTATGTAGAGTTGGTGAAAGTGAACCTGAACTTCTCGCAATAAGATTCCATCAGTCATAAATTTGATGGCACAACGATCTCCAATTCGTTTATCATACCTAACCTGAAAGCCCACTTCTTTACCCAAGTGAAGACCAAGTTCATATGCCACACGCTTTGCAGTAGCAAGGACGGCAACCCGACGTGGTTGAGTTACACCAATTATTCCACTTCGCACAGTAGATTGATTTGAACCAAATCCCACTTCAAACAAAAACTGAAAACATTGGAGAAGCAAGTGTCGTCAAAATCGCTCAAATAAGTTGTAAAGCACAACATCTTCGCCATAATACAATGTCAAAGCTTACTATACCTGGGGAACTTGTGTTGTTTTACCACAGCCTGTTTCTCCGCAGATAATAACAGTGGAATGGTAATTAATAGATTCCATTATCTCCTGCTCCATCATGACTATCGGAAGATCTTTTCTCTTGTCTTCAACTTCCTTTGGCCTCGATACATGCACTATAATAGGGGTAGTCACTAGCCCACATAACTGCGACAGGCTTGTCTTGTCAAACTCTGATTTCAAAGTATCCTCTGCCCTATCCTGCCATGCATTCAAATCCCAGAATCCTCATAATCAACGACCACAAAAAAGATACAAGGAGAGGATTCTGAATATGAAGTTTTCATTACCATGCACATTCCATAGTATTATTCACTGTAATCTTTGCGAGAGTATGCAAATCGAGATTCGTCATGTAAAGCATTACATAACGCAGGAGAACAAGTGATCTTGGAAAATATCCGGTCAAAACAAACACGCAACTTATTAAAAAATTATTAAGTCAATGACGAGGGGAAGAATTTCAGAGATTAAAATTCTGCTCACGAACAGCATGAAGCTGCCAATCTGTTTCTTCACATACTTACATCCCTAGAATACACTGCGTGGATATTTAGAAAATTTTATAGGATGAGAAGGACCTGTTCATGTGGCACAATTACATTAGAGCAAGTGCATGCAGTAAGTTAGTAGCATGTTCATGGGAACATTTATTTTAAAAGATGCATATGTACATAATCTCATTGGTTTGCTCCTCCAGTAATTCAACGGTAAAAGCATATTTTCATTGAGAAACAATGGATTCTGTGAAAATATTACAATTCAGGATCCTCTAAGATACCTCTGAATGCATTCAATACACAACAAAGAGGATACATGCATCCACATACACAAGCCCAAGCACAATTCTGCCTACACAAACACATACCACTACATCCACGCATGGCCACCCATGCCCACCTACATGCGAATGCATACACAAGTGCACGCCTATAGGCACACAGGCATGTGCGCAATATGCATGGACATGACTGTGTACAGGCAAATGCATGGACAGACGTGCACACTTAAAATTCTTCTTAACCAAGTAGACATTTACAAATATTTCAAATCGCTATCCGTTCTAAACACCGATAAGTCATAAAATTATTTTGAATCAGCCGAAGCTATCGGACGCTAGGGATATCTCAACTCAGTAAATTTTATTTCAAAATTATCATATTCAACTTTAGCCCACGAAACTCATATTCAAAACAAGCAAAACCAGATTCAACCATACCGAGCAGCAAGCATTCTCTCTGTCATCATGAGTGCGAGTTATGTGTGAGGAAATTTGCATATCTCCACCGCTGAATGTATCACTGTAGGTAGCTTGTCTAACCGGAAGTTGCTCAATTGATTCCTTACCAGTGTCAAAACTTTTGCCACCAACCAATTCTTGAGAAGAGTCAAAAGGAGCACACCCACTATCTAAACATCTCTTTTGTACTTTAGTTGGCTCCAAAATACCATTGCTGCCAATATCTTGCTCGCAAATTGATTGACAACTGTCCGATATACGCTCACTCTCACTAGGAGCATTGCCAACATCTCTGCTCCCAAGGGGATCTCTTAGCCCAGCCTTGGAAAATTGCACAACCTTCAAACGTTTTTCACGCATGGTTTCAGCCTAAAGAGAAAACATGCATCTGGCTAAGTAGCGGCCAACAAATATTTTAGTTAGCAACAAGTGGATGAAAAATACAATACAAACCCTTCCAATATTCTGCGATGACTGCAGCAGTGAGTATGCAGAATCTGGAATCTTGTACTTCCTGAAGGAGGAAATTATGACATAATCAATAAGTAGGCAAAGCCTTTAAGTGTAATAATCAGTCATCCTCATTAAAAGCAAATGGGCAGCTACATACTCCAACAACTCCATGCTTCGCGACAGAAGCACGGCCTTTTGCTTCTCCTCCTACAACAACATGAAACAAAGAATAAATTCAGTTAATATAATATGATACGCAATAAGCAAGCAAAAGCCAAGCATCAGAAGTCACCTCCAATTTCTTATTCTTTCTCTTTTGAGATATTCCAGGACTAGGCACAGTCTTTGATTTTATTTTCCCATGCTTCTGCATAGACAGATTCGACTATTAGACACCTTCCATGACATTGAAAGAGGATAGAAGAGGAAACTAAAGGACATTTATCCTACCTGATTCATGCCTTTCCTATCCTTCCTCTTCCTTTTCGGCAAGATTATTGCATTGCAATCATCGCTTCTAACACTACCAAAAGCATGACCACATGACCTGAGAAAATGCAGTGTGAAATCTGGAACAGAATATACTCGCTATTTCCACTAGTTGATAGTTAATCCGGACATGGAATGAAAGAATCCTAAATTAACATTCGACAGCATTGACAAGCAAAAACACAGGAAAGAGAATGTGTTAATTATCCGTGGAAAGCACTTAGAACCTCAGATCATGTACAGTCTTCAGTTTCTATTTCTATTTGCACCTCATAAGGAAATCTAGAGTTTGGCAGAAATATCAATTGGAATGCATACTGGAATTTTGGCCTCCACACCAATGTGCCATTTGTTGAAGGAATTGACATTCTTTTCCATAGGGAAACGGATGCCAATTCCACTCCTGCAACAAAGCACACAAACTTTTTGTTTCAAGTGTATACTTACTTTTTTCTTTCGCATACTTCTTTTGGAGACACAATTGACATCCAACTCTAACAACTTTTGGATTCCCTCGGTATAGGACTGAACTGTTAAGGAGAGCCGGGTAGGAGTAACTTGAGTGGAACGTTTGGGAGGGTTTTGATCTGTCCTTAGGAAGATCAAAGAAAGTAGTCATGTTGGTTCAGAGAGCTCGGCTACAAAACATAGTCCTCATATTTTGCGCAATAGTTCTGACTAGGGACAACGCACATCTAAGCTCTTTCTGGGTGAATTGGTGGGATTGATTCATAGTCACGAAAAAAGATAGACATGAGATTACCCCTTTCATCCCATTCCTCATTCAATTTATTGTCCTTTCTCCATTCCATTTCCTCGTCATTATATTTCTTCACAACATATGTGCTGTTAGGTTATTACATCCCAAACATCAGCAAGACAAACCTCCCTAAAACGATTTGTCACTTCAGGCAATTTAAAATCGCAAAAGGTAATCACAACTTCTCCATGCCAAAAATTAACTGGAACAATCACGGTTCCCAAAACACAACATGATCATAAACAAGTCAAGACATAAGTGTAAAACCTTGCACAATAAACTACCTAAGCGATTCCTCTCCACCGTCCACATCACACAGCTGCGCCGGATCGCCCATGTGAAGTTCCTCCTTTGTCCTGCCCCGACCGAACTCTTCCGAACCTGAGAACATAAACCGGTTGGGATCAACTCCAAAAATCTGATCGTTTGACATCTCGGAAACCCTAGTCGGCTGATCGAGCCACACGCTCTTACTTCGACAGTCCTACGCAGGACCGCCGACAGCCCCTCCTCAGTTCTCTAAACCCAGCATGCAAGCAAACCCAGGTTCATGCCAAAAATCAAGCACGAAACAGAACCCACCCAAGTCCATCAGCTACACACCTATGTAGCATACACACATCGAGCTATAAGCTAAACCAGAGCAAGCCCTCCCTATTCAAACTCCGGCGTCTACATTCAGTAACGTAAGAGCAATCAGTCTCATCTTTTCCCGACAGGAATTCATAATGTGGTCGACGGCAGCCCAATGCGGTTTCACCGCAACCGTCGCAAGCGGGAGCGCGCCGCCGTCCTCCGCCTCCGCGCACGCCAAAAAAACAAAAAAAAAAAACAAGCGGAAAACCCCAAGCTCCATACAAGCACCAAGAATCTTCCATACATAACTTCCAAAAAGTTAAATCTTTCCTGATTGCAACAGGTGCTAGCTCAAAAACAGCTGGTCGATAATTGCACAGAGAGAGAGAAAATCACCGCCTCTTCTCGCTCCAGCGCACCTCGACCGATCGATTTGAAGCGTCGGAGCGAGTCGAATCGGAGGCTCGAGCGGAGGAAGACGCGGGGCGTTCGTCGCCGACCTTCTCCTCGCTCGCTGCGCAGAGCCAAAGAAGGAGGCGGCGGCGGTGGTTTTGTCCGTTGACACAGCGCGCGAGGAGGTGATCCCCCAACCCTGGAACCTGGAACCGGACCGGCCGGTCCGGTCCGGTCCGGTCCGGTTCTCGGTTGCGGTGTTCCTTTCAGCTCGAATCATCCATGACGGCGCTCGATAAACAGGACGAGAGAAATCGAAGGAGGTGAGAGAGCGATAGAGAGAGAGAGAGAGAGACGGTGACCTGGACCTTCGTCGGAAGGGAGCTCGCTCTCGTCGATCTTGCAGCCGCCGCCGCCTCAGGCGGTGCTGCCGGCTCTCCTTCCTCCCTTCCACCCGTCAGAAACCGGGCGTGCAGTCGGACGATCGGCGCGCAAACCTACCGCAGGTGAGATCTGTCGGAGCACAGCCGAGATCACGCTCGGGTAGCTGCTGCTCCGCGCAAAGCAACTCGTCTTCTTCGCGGGAGCGCGAACGAATCGGTCGGAGGGAAGGGAAGGTCGGGACGCTGACACTTTTCCGCACGCCGCCCCTCCGCTTCTCTATCTCACTCTTCCTCTCGGCGGCGGCAACTCCCCGTCGGCGGCGGCGGCGGCGGCGCCTCCCCACAAAATTCCAAGCCCTAATTCGATTCGAGGAGAAGAAAAAGGGACCCCAAATCAGGCCCCCGATTGAACCGCGAACCGGACCGGACCCGGTTCGGTTCTCGGGAAGAACCGGAACCGGCGCTCCACCCGTGCGGCCGTGGACCCGGCCCGGTCCGGTTCGTTCTCCCAAATTCAATACGAATTCGACTACGCAAGCCGAACGGAGCGGGCTTTGAGTGCGGTTTTTACGGATTTGCCCTTGATTTCTTAATATGGGGGCGAGGGATAAAAGGAAAACAAATTGGGAAAATTTTGAATCCAAAATTGTTAATTTGCGTTTCCCTGGTTTAAGGACGGTTTTGAGTTCCTTCTGCAGATCTTTCCATAATTTCTTCTTTAATTTTGACTTTGAGGTGTCAATTTTGCAAGGGTCACCACAAGAAAAGAATTGCAAATTTTTCTTTTTATTTCTTTATGGAAATCCTGACTCTAAAGCCATGTCCTTGTCGATTAGATATATCATGAGGTGGGAGGAGATGATGTCAAGAGTTTATCCGCCGCGAGGGGAAGTTTGTTAAAGGGGGGCAATAGAATGTGGATAAGAATCACTTTGTCAAACAAATATATCTAAGGGGTCAAGTTTAGAAGACATCGAAAGGAGGGAGAGTTTATTCGTCGGCCAATCAGTTCGAGGCGCTCGGTTAATCTCGAATTGAAGACATTTTTAACGGGTTTCAGAATTTGTTATCCAACGAGACACCTCGTCTTATGTCATGATTAGCATACTTTTCTACGGGCACGATTTGTAGATCCGATGGTTCATAGACTCGACCGAGGCGAAAGGTCTAATTAGCTCGAGTTTGGATAAGGACATTTACTTGTTTAAGCACGACTTGTCTGCCGTATTTTTAGGTGATAGTCTAATCCGACTGACAAGTTAGCCTCCCACCCAAAATTAGCTGTATTTAATAGCTAAAAAATAATCACCCGATGAACTCGCTGTGGTTGTCGGATGTCGCGTCACGGCACCTGTTAGATAAAGAAATAGAGGGTGAGGGAGACAAGCGAGAGAAAGAGGGAACAGGTTAGAGAATGTGGTGGCGTGAGCTCGGGGCAAGCTCAAAGGGCGGCCGCGATGCTGCTGGGGAAGAGGATGACGTGGAGTCGGCTCGGAGGCAGACGACAGTGGCGGTCGGCGGGTGGTGATGGAAAGATTAGGGTTTTGTTCATATTTGGGTATGCGGGAGATTGAGAAATGGTTGTCCACCAAAGTGGAGGATGCAAAATGGTAAAAAAATGGCCAAAAGTGATGATGGATTTAAGCATCTTTCCCTTTGTAGATTTTCCTCCTCCATTTCAACCTTTTTGCATTCAAATTGGCCAGCCGACAATTTTCGACGTTACTTAAAAAGTTGAAAATCATGGCCATCTTTTTTGTTCTTTTCATTGAAGATTCCATTCTCATTTACATATTTAATATATACACATACACATGCCTCATGGCTTAATTCACCCTTGTTGACTTAGATCGAGCAGGCCATAGGCGATTGCTGGCAACCAGCCATGGCTAGGCGGGTTGACCTCATATAGGCAAGGGTCGTCGTTGCTAGCCACAAGCGAGGCCCGGCGAGGGTCGGCCTCACCTAGGCTAGGGTGACCTTGCCGGGTGTCGCCTTCACCAAGGCGACGCCCGACGAGGGGAGCCCTCACCAAGGCTCGTCCTTGCTCGGACGAGGTATTAATAGACTCGGTGAGATATTTATCGACCACTCTCTGTTTTTTAACGATAAAATTAATCGGGTATTCGAAGAGTCCAAACACAAGATTACTATGGAAGGAAAGTCACACGTGCGGGTCAAAACGGGAATGGAAAAATCTAAGTTCGTCTCAAAGATTCCTTCACAAATTCATGTTCACATTCACTTTGTAACAAAACTCCAAAGAACAAAACATAAAATAGGAAAGATGCCATTTCCTTGGCATTTCACACCTCCCCAATTCGGCTAAGGACAGCTTGGTCCGGCAGGAGAGACGCATCGAGCCATGCTAATTCGGCTCGGCTTGAGCCGCTTGGAACGAGCCTCCTCTGGCGGCTCGCCTCCAAATTCTTCTATATACTTAATATTTAACTTATAATGAAATCAATATTGTACTTTATTTGAAGGAGTCAAAGGTGAGGATTTTTTTTTTTTTGAAGTGTCTAGGGTGAGTATTGACCTTGTTTCATATTACTTGCAATCTATGCGTAGAAGGTCTGGAGTTCAAAGCATTCTAGACCCCTATTTATCTTCTTTATTATATATCAATACGTTTCGTCTTGAGCGGAAATTCGACGCACGCTTGAGGAGAGAATATTAATATATTCGGGTATTAAGTCACGACTTCATATTATAATTTGGACTTGTACAACAGTTGGGTACGGTCCATTTTTTATGGCGGATGGAGTTAGAGGTTAGTCCTGAGGACCACAAACTCTCTCTCTCTAGCTCTCTCTCTCTCTCTCTCTCTCTCTCTCTCTCTCTCTCTCTCTCTCTCTCTCTCTCTCTCTCTCTCTCTCTCTCTCTCTCTCTCTCTCTCTCTCTCTCTCTCTCTCTCTCTCTCTCTCTACGAGCGCAAGCGTGCAAACCATGGAACTCATTGCCATCATGTGAGGCCACAAAAACTCCTTGTCACTGAACTTGACCTCAACGACAACGATATTTCACCACGACCAATGTGTCGACGACAACTGTTGTAGTTAGCAATGAAGCCAAAAGAGAGATGCATCTATTGACTTTGCACATATGTTGGGGGGAGGGAATGGCCTCATAGTGGATGATAATTGCGATTGGATCTGGATTGGTACCGTCATTAATGTCGATGACTGGGGGCAGAGAGCGGTGGCCACTTCAGGCCGATTAGGCTGTGACAGAGAAAGAGATTAAAGAATTTTGGGTCTAGAAATCCTCTAAATTTAAGAATTGAAGTTTCGTACGTGGTTGGTAAGGTTAGATTATGAATGATCACTAGACCCATGATAAGTTGATGTAACGGGGATAAATCGACCCTAAGTGGAGAATAGTCCAAGATTCAAGCACATGAATATGGCCTAGGTTATGTTCAACAATCATAAGGTTTGGCAAACCTTACCCTATTTGATCTGAAGTCAAACTTCTAGATTCAAGCTCTTTCCCAACACTAAACATCACTTGATTTTCTTTGAATTTTGGCAGCATTCCCAAATATGGTCAACCTCTCGGTTGAATGCCCATACCACATCAAACTGGTCTAGCCATCTAGAAAAATAGTTTGCAAATATATTATTATTATTATTTTTTATTATATAGTTTCTGAACAGATACACAAAGGGGGGCTTGAGCTTCAAGCTTGTTCAGTAGCTGAGCCGTTTGACGTTGTCGCCAGCTCGCCATGCTATTTCATTTGCGGTCACGCTCATGCATGAGGAAGATTATATTATGAATAGGTCTTCTAGCACAAAAAAATATTATGAATAGGTCAGTCAAAAAAGTCGTCTCAGGTGGGACCCACTCTCCCCATCGTCCTACGTGTCACCCCGTCTCTCTCTCTCTCTCTCTCTCTCTCTCTCTCTCTCTCTCTCCCTCTCGATTGTTCACTGCTTATCAATCTTTGTCCTACATCGCCCTACGTGTCACCTCTCTCTCTCTCATTCTCTCTCTGCTAATTGCTTACTCTTTCTCCATCTTTATCCTCTCTCTAACCAAGTCATGAATCTTGACCTTGTCTTCCTCTCATTCGCCACCCAAACGCACATATATATCCATACACATCCACGCACTCACCGAAACAGAGAACAATAACTTGTTCAACATCGCTTCAATCTTCTCTCACCAGAAGCTGACACTTTGCTGATATTTCAAGGATGGGAAACTGTTGCAGAGCTGAGTCTTCGTCGTCGTCGTCGTCGTCGTCCATGATCTGGGCCGGCGAGGATTGGAACTCGCTCCGTAGTGATGGAGGAGAGAGCAAGAGGCTTCTTGGCGATGCTGATGGAAAGAGGGTTTCTTCTTCCTCTTCTTCTTCGCGGCGGAGAGAGATCAAGATCAAGATCAGTAAGAAGGAGCTGGAGAAGTTGGTGGAGAAGATCGAGGCTCAAGGACTGTCTCTAGAGCAAGTCTTGCCTCTTCTGATTAACAAGAACTGCTTTGATCGTCGTCAGTCGAGTTTCGCGAAGCGCGGCGGTCATTGTTCATGGAAGCCGGCTTTGCAGAGCATTCCGGAGGCCAACTAAAAGAAGTTTTCTCATTCTTTTGTTCTTCGTATGTACATGGGACAAGGCATAGATTTTGGTTTATATTTTCCGATGTATGACGATTTTTGTAGAAGTAGTTACATAATTTCCTCTAATCCTAGGTTATGGTAGGTTTGTGAAAATGTACTTTTACACGATATGTGTGTTAATGTTACACATGATTCAATTGGGAGATATTTATTTGCATTTAAAGACTTATACTTGTAACTAGAAAGGATAAATCATAGTGTTGTAGTTTCTTCTTTCACTTCAGCTTGATTGAGTGTTGTATCTACTCCATACGAAGAGCTAGCCGCAAATAATCCACGAATCAATCGGAGAATTATCGAATTATAATCGCTCAACCGCCCGACCGTTGCACAGTCCCGGTGCATACAAACCCACACAGTATTTAGTCTCATATAATTACTTGATAAAATAAATCACGGATAATTACCTCACCGCTTTCAAACACTCACCTTCCGTAAGACGAGCAATCCAAATTGGTTATTGAGTGAAATCCTTGAAGACGAAGTTCTGATATTCAAATGGCTTGTGGTCTTCTTTTGTACTGCTACAGAACAACTAAAAAACAAAACCATCTCTTGAAGTAAATATATGCCACGAACCCACGTTGAAGCCGACTTCACCAAGATATCTTGCACAGGAACAAGAGTCCAATTTGAACTTGGAAACAACGGCAAAACCAAGCGTCCAAGAAACCTCGTACTTTCCTGTTCGGGCTTTGACATTCCTTAATTTGGGTCTGGTTTCGAATATCAGCTAAAAACTCGATACATATATGTTAACAGTGGAGATGATGGTGGGAGTTGCAGGTGATTTTATGGGAATGCGGCATGATGGAAGGTGGAAATAGAGGAGGCGATATCAGTAGCTATCCTGCGACAGCGGACGTGGTTAAAGGTGTTTTTCGATGGAGCAATGGCTTAGGAATGGTGGTTCGTCTGTGCCTCATATATCGCTCTGATCGTGCGTGTAACATATTGTGCATTACGACAAGATAAAAAAACGCTGTAGCGCGTGTTTGTTAAATATGTCTTGAATTTTATGTACTTGGTCCGGTTCATCATCCGACCCGACATATTTTTGTGCGACCCAAAAGTGGAGAAAAAATTGAGATTTAGTTCGTGACGCGGAGGGTTGGGCCGATAGGCCCAACTCAGAGCAAGCGAACCGGTCCGCCCAAGCTAGAGCAAGCGAACAAATATCTCGGGGGGTTCAGGGGCCATGCCCCCGAGGAAATTTTTTGGGGAGCCCTATTTATACTGTGGCTAGGTTTTTTCATTGATTAAGAGATATTTTCGTTTTGGGAGAGATTTGTGAGCCGTGAGGTTTTGTTAAGTCGTTTTTTTGACTTCTGAAAACTGTACTCTCTTTGATTATAGTGTAATCTTGTTTTGCCTCGCCCGTGGACATAAATCACCTTGTGATCGAACCACGTAAATCCTTGTGTTCTGTATTTGTTTTTCCGCGTTTGTTTCGAACAGTGTTTGTGACAACCAAAATCTCAAATAGTGTAAGAGTGCAAAGAGGTGTTCCAACAACCCTGTCTTCAAAGATGAGACAATGAACTTGAAGATTGGTCACTAACATAAGAGATGGTCATCCTGCATATCCTATACAGTTCATATTACGATGCAATCTCAAGCTTCCCTTGATTCGATGTGAATTTTTTCCGGATTTGATCTCGGAGCTCTGGTACTAACAATACCACGAGATCTCTATCAAGCCATCTTCGATCCAGACCATGTGCGAGTACATAAATAATTCCCAATTTGCTTGCAAAGAAGTATCGGAATACCATAAATCGATATAGTGATAAAAAGCCTAAAGAGCTACCATGTTAAGGTTTCTTATAGGGAACGTTTCGTGTAACTTCTTCAACCTTTCTTAATTCATAAGATGAATGAGGAGGTACTTCGATAGTCTATTCTAAGGTGGGTAAGGTTCTATCCATGCCACCCGCAAGGCAACGATTGAGATCGCACTATCAAAGGCCCTAGAATATATTCTGCATTGATATAGAAGTAAGCCTTATTTCATTGAAATGTCTCAATCCATAATTACAAGGCCGTAGAATACATATGTGTCGTCATGCTTCGTTGTTTTGAGAAATTGAGGTAGCAGGTTTAGTCCTGTTCTTTCAGTCCTCTAATGTAGAGTTTCGCGAATTCATCCTCACATCTTCTTCTCCATGTGATCGAGTCGTCATGTACGTTCGAGTTCTTCCACCACTTCCCGCTAGTAGCTCCTTCAACTCGCTCACACGGCGACGGAAAGCAATGTGAAAGTCATCAACTTTTCATGGCGCACAGCAGAGGCAACATGGGCTTGGCGGCCTAGTGGCCTCAATCTGCCCGTAGTGAAAAAAGGGCAGACCTAGGTAAGCAATTTCCTTTTGAGTTCGGCCGTCCTACCGAGTCCTTTTTATTTTTTATTGGGGACTGGTTTGGAGAAGAATTTCTATACCCGGTACTTGATCCGGCCCGTTCATTGATGAGATCTAGCCTCTCCTACACCATCTTTGGGGAGGTTAACCATTTCCCCTCCTTGCTTCCTCTCCCCTTTCCACCATATGGAGGGGAAAAAAGAAAAAGGACAAAGGAAAGATGATGATCTGCCTTGGAAGATGGCAACTAAGAACAGATACGCAATTTGACTTGGAGCTGAGCAGGAGGCCGAACGTGAAGCTACTACTATGATCAATCTCATCCACACGTTGTAAGCTGTTATTATCAATCTCATTCAATTCCGGCATATCGAAAGATTCAACAATCCTAGAAGTTAATAAACCGATTCGTTTACGTACTGAGTTGTTTGATTTCCATAGCGTGGGGAATTATTCAAATTAGTTTGGTTGTTTCTGCTTCTCTTTGGCACCTAATCGTTTGACTATTTGTCTCTGGGAATCACGCACTTCAATTCATTTCTCAACAACCAAGAATCGCAAGCAGAAAATGAAGATTTGAATTATAGCTTAATGAACTCATGATCTCGAAAAGTTCAGAACGAAACGAAACCTCGTCCTTGTTATGATTTCTATGCACTATACACTTTTCCTCCTTTTTCCTTTCTGCAAAGAAATGTAAAATTAGCAAACGCCACCCCCAAGATTCTACACAACATGAGACACTAAAACGAAAGGACACTTCTACGTGGTGGTTTTGCAAGAACAAGTTTAAAAGGTTGGAGGCTGATCAATAACTTGGTCTCTACTCTCTACAAGGCCAGACGAGAGCTTCCAAGCTCCTCAATTGACTCATGAGCTGCTTATAAACGGCGAGTCTCGCTTTCGAAATCATCAGTGCCATCCTCTTCCTCGACTTCTTCAACCGCCGCCCGATCTTCACCTTCAACCTGCACAACTTCACTCTCAGGAGCGAGGGCCTCCTCCGAGCATCAGCTTGCTCCAACACTTTGTAGATCAGGAACTGCGCTTTCCGTTGCTTTTTCTCTTCTGGGTCCTCGAAATCCATCCTTGTGTGTGCATAAGGCTTCTTCGAAAGAGCCATTACTGATTCTTGTATCGAGCTTTTTGGTTGAATTGGCAATAAAGAGGTTGAAGAGAAGGGAGTGTGCTTTGGAGGAGTTGAAACCAGGGATAAGAGACCAGCTGGTTTTTATAGAGTGCGTAGGAGCTAAACATTGCATCAGTTGATGAAGGGACAATGCATGTGCTCTAGTGTTCGTTAGGATAAATCATTGAATAAGTAGAGAAACAATGACTAAACTTGGCCTGAAAATCTTACAGCATTTGGGTTCTTAAATTTGACGTACTACTTGATTATAAGATAAAATTGATTTCGATTGGATAAATCAATGGAGACTCCACTTCAAAGACATTACGGGGTTCCTCAATAGGTACTCTTTTCATCTTCTGAGTTTCTTTAATGGGTTTAATTTTTCCGGATAAAGAGTAATGCCAGTTATAAAAAAAAAACCGATCTAAAAATTTGCTATCTTTATAGATAAAGCAAACTCTTATTTGGGTGTTAATACACATAATTCGTTTATTCAAATGCTTGCATGCAGTTTTTCGCATTGCTTAATATTCCAATTTCGCGTATCGGGTTTAAGATATCGATCATAGTTATCCACATTTACCAACAATATAAATACATGGAATCATAGGATTAAAATGAACTCATCAAATATTGTCAATGACACGTATAATATTGAATTGGAATAGCACGAATGTTGAGGAAACTATGAATACAATAGTCTCTAGGTCCTGGCCGGATCAAGACGGCACTCAATTTTTATTCTGTTTTTAAAAGTCTGTGCTGTCATTTATTTAATGTTGAATAATGTCGAACTAGTAGAGTTGGAAGCAAAGTCAAATGGGAGACATGGGGGCATGCCATCGATCTGTATATACAACACAAGGTTCATCATTTTATTGAAAATCATTAATAACAATGCTCAGAAGAACAAGATTTTCCAAATATGGTAGGAGAAAACCCGTCGAAAAAAAATATCTTCAAAATCTATTCTATTGAATTAGGCCAATCACCTGTCGAGAAATTATGATATTCATATGATCTATTTCTATAAATAAATATATATGTGTACAAGCTACTCATACATCTCTTTTAAAGTGATTGATTAGATCATCACATCATGAATAATGCATTACTCTATACATTTCTTTTCCCGATGCAAATCAAAATAATCTTATGACCGCTCTGCTTGTCAACTAGTTTATATGAATTGCCAAATCCTTGGGATAGTTAATGAGGTCCAACATCAACTAAGCAAGGATGCATTTGGCCCGGGCCACCTGCACCTACACTTAACAGAAACCTGCCTCATCTCCACAACATTTGACTACTAATTGTAGTCATTTGAGGGATATTGTAAAGTATATCAACTAGCTATTATTATTTGATCTTTGAAATTAGAAAAACCCATTATTAGATAAGTATTATAGTCTTTGTTTTCTATGGATCTCTTGGAATCAAGCATAGGTAGGCTAAACAAACAATATAGTTTGATGATGTTAGTCCAATTTAATGGACCATAAGTCATCACCTTCACAAGTTCAACCAACCTTGAGGGAAAGAGGCAATTGATGCACCTGTGTAGATTGAGCCGTCCTAATTAAGTTTCGCATTAAAAGGAAAAAAGGAGGAGTTTAGGTAAAACTATTTATAGGGTAGGGAAGGGACAGATCAAGCCAATCTCAGTTAATGAGACGTTTGTGTTACATTGCGCTCTATGAATGACTTAATAGATTTCGGTAAAATGAGTGCAGACAATATTTTGCTCGTCACATTATATATTGGTCTTTTAATTAACTCAAGATCTTTCCAATTGTAATATTTTCATTAGAATGAAAATTAAAATCGAATTGGAATTAGTTGAAGACAATATTCACGTGGCTCGTGGGGTACAAGAGTGAGTGGATGACTTCATTAATATACCTTATTAGACTAGCATTCATTAAAAAATTTAAACCCGTTGAAGTTTTCAGTAAACTGTATGTATTATTTTATTTCATCTCTCATCGATTATCCGAACGATACCCTAGGCGTGCATGGCCACAACATCGACAACCAAACGTTCAACATTAAACTACGCAAATCATTGAGGTTCACTTCATTCGTTTACCTTCCGAAACAATAGAACAGCCAAGAATAGTCAAATTGTCGGAGATACTCTCAAGTTGAAAATAAATAAATAAACAAACAAGGTCGACACCCTTTTGGAATATCTTTTGTCTTCCATTAACTAGAAAAACCGTCGCCGAATAAGTCTAGAAGAAATATAAAACTATATATATATAAAGTTAAACTGTCTTCTACCAGTTAGTTTGTTCGTGGGGTTTGTTGAAGGTCTCTGTTTTTTGGTAATGAACCAGTGAAGATCGAGTTTTTCTCCTTCTATTTTCCAATAAGAAAATGAGAAGACAACATGAAAAATGCATGCATCAGCCTCAACATTTAATTTTTGAGTGTCGTCAAAGGCACTCTTGCCACAAGTTGCGCCGCATATTAAAAATCATTATCATATCCTAGAACATACATTTTGCATCTCCCCGGCCTAAAAGGATCCACTTGCCTCATGCACAACCATAATCTAAACCCTAACCCGTTTCGCACTCTCTTTTCCTGCCCTTTTCTCTCTCGTCAGTCCTCACACACAACAATGTAGCGAACCATGATGTGAGAGCCATCACAGGGCCGAGCTATCGGTCGGTACCTAACCCTGGTGCGGACGACGAGACCCTCAACCGCCATCCACACCCCTTTCCCCACATCCCTACCTCTGTGTTTGGGGCGAGATCATTCGCCGCTCACAACGACAAGTAGCTCGGCCTCTGATCAAACTTGGTGGTCTTCACTGTTTAGATGTCGTCGCTCTTGCTGCCAAACTGACTAGTGTGGCTGTGGGGTTAGAGTTGCTGCCCTGTTTTCACTGGCGACCAAGAGCGAGAGTGACAAAGGGAGGGACGAAGCCGGAGGTGATCGAGAGCGAGAGTGACAAAGGGAGGTGAGGCCGCAAGATGAGTGAGGCAAGAGATGGAGATAGACGAAGAGGAAACTAGGTTTTGATCTGAAAACATAAAAATTAAATATATACATACATATATATATATGTACTGATCCAATGCGGGTGGACGGTTCCACAACTAGAACTGGGAACCGGATTAGTACTCACTGGTTCCAGTAAATTGGAATTGGACCAGTCCCTATGGGAACAGTCGATTCTAGGCCAATTCTGTCCGGTTCCGGGCGGTTCCCGGTTCTTCTGCATACCCCTAGTCACCGCTAGCTCAGGGCCATATCGAGGTCAAACGACTTGGTTCTGGCAAATTATGTGTGGGTGAGTGATATAACTCGTAAACCATTGTAAAAATTGAGTATGATGGTTGTAGGTTTTGAAATGTGAGAAGGGTATTTGATATAGGAAGTAAAACTCAGTATGATAATTGTTCGGTCCCCGTTAGTGTAACAAAAGTTTCACATACTGACCGCTCGATGATTGACATGTATACTTGAAAATAATAACGTAATCGAGTTCTTTTACAAGTCAATCATCCAACGGTGGGCGTGTAAATCAATTCTTCCATTGCTTATATAATACAACATGCCATAACAAGGTGTCTAGTTTGGTGTTCAAGTGGACATGTTAGCTTATGCATGATTGTAGACGTTACAAGACCAGTGGGTGGTTGAGTAAAAATGATGCGCCAAACACTTTGGGAATCTAGTGCAGAAGGTTTCCGTTTTTAATTAAACAGCGGATGGATTGATTCCATCGTTTAGCACGCACACTTCCCTTAAAAATAAGCCATGTCATCTTTTGAAATGACAAACTCAGCAATTAATCTTGAATTCATGAATTTTACTGATTCAAATAAATATATGTTTAATTACAAAGTAAAGTTGCAAATACAATGTGTAATATCATGATGTTTTTCCCTTACGAGGATTTGGAAAATTTGCTTGGCCTCCTATAATGGTCTCAACCACCCACAAATTTCTTGGTTTAAAAATTTGAAACCCTGTTTATGGTTGACGGGTGATGAATAGTATCCATCTATCTCTAACAATGGAGAAATGATGATTTAAAAAGTCACGTAACAATCATATCATTACATAAATCTCTCATACGTTCTAATTTTAAATTAAATATACTCCATTTTTAAACAATTCTATTGAATATAGTTAAAGCCACAGACGATGAGACTGTTCGCTTTTGCACTCGCCATCTGGCAATTCTCTTTGGCTTTATGCTAGCCACGTGGCATGATGCTTAGCACTGTGTTGCCACATGTCCCAATACCTTAGATGTCATCCTACACTCTTATATGTTAATTTCAGATGCTAATAACAGATAAAAGCCTATATTTGAACATCTAGGAGTAATTAAATTTAGTCAAAACAATTAATTTAGATTTAGAAAAAATAATTAAATCAAACTAAGAATATCATCAAGATGCATGTTCGATGTGTGAGATAAATATATGGTATACACTGTATTAATCTTCTTCTTCCTCTTCCTTTGATACATTGAAAGTTCTAAAACCTATTACGGAAATGTAGTTGCGACCTAAAACTTTCAATTTGTGCAATCAAATCTTATAACTTAGTCGATTTATGCAATCGAGTAACTCTCTTAATTTCGTCCAATTTGAGTGATGGAAATGCCGAGGTGGCATTTTTTTTATGTTCATAGGTTACACTTGACGAATGTTGCGGCGCCAACTAGGAGCCACATAAATAAAAAACTTGACAAATTAAAAAAATAATGGATAATACTACCAAAAATCTAATACATCCATGATACATTTACCCCAAACTAATTTCCATGTCAAAAAAAAATCTCAAACTTTAACACCCGTGACAAATCTACCCTCGTTAGTTTTTGTCCAATATCCCCGTTAAATTACTAACATGGAAACATACATGACAAGCGACTTGTCTGACGTGGATCTAACGTAGAAATTCAGCATAAATGGCTTTTTATATGACGTCCTTTTGGGGAAGCCAGATTTAAAGAAAATGAACTAGGATTGAGAATTAGGGCAAAATTGAATTTTCTCCTTCTCTCTCCCCCGTAAAATC